GAGTAGGTATTATTTTACTATGTTATTAGATCAATAAGAATTTTCCACATTGAACTAAATAAATAAACAAAAACTCAAAAACGATGCTACGTTTGATTCATCTGTTCCGAAAATCCCAATCTGGTAGGATACTACAAATTATCTGGTCTTTGTGACTATAGTCCAATAGCCAGTACACTTATGCATTATCTGTATGATAAAATATGATGCCTTACTCAGGCTTCCATCATTTGGTCAGAAATATATCAATTCTCGATTTAATTTTTGTCTTGTATCTTGGAATTATTTCCTCATTGTTAATCATTCTCCAGGCTGAAAAGTTCAGACTTTCTCAAATAAGCCATACCGCATCAGTCCCCACTGATATACCTTTAGTCAATTAGTGTGGATATGTTTATTCTTTGCCTGGCCAAATGCTCCTACTCATTCACTTCCTTCCAAAACACATATGGTGCTTTTCTGTCTAATAATCCTTTTCCCACAGACATGTATTGACAGACTTTTGGTACCTCTGTCAAAAACAAAGATTCTTAAACTGTTTTTTGAAAACCTGACAAAAAGGATAGGTACATTCTCTGCAGGGGAAAAAAAAGCACACATGTTGCTGTAGAGTGAATATCTGTGCCCTTCCAAAATTCATATGTTGAAATCTTAACTCCCAAGATGATGATGGCATCAGAAGGCAGGGAATTTGGGAAGTGATTAGCACCCTGATAAGACAGACCTCAGAAAGCCCCCAGCCCCTTCCACCATGTGAGGATTACAGTTAGTCTGCAACTTGGAAGAGGGACTTCACTGGACCACGCTGGAATCCTGATCTTGGACTTTAGCCTTCAGAACTATGAGAAATAAATGTTTGTTGCTTATAAGCCACCCAGTTTATTGTATTTTGTTATAGCGTTCTGAACAGAGGCATCACTAAATCATCAAGTGCTGCTTTTCCCTTTCCTTCTGCCATTTTTTCCTCCCCAAAATCATTGCTTTTCAAAATCTACCCCTTCAAATTCCACATACTTTCAAATTCCTGCCTATGATCCATGCTTTAATCTACCAGGCATACTTTTAGTATTTCCAGACTTCCTAGGATGGCTTTGTCTAGATTTGGATCAGCTCTAGTCCAATTCTAGGCCCCATCTTCTGTCTCCCATGATTCCAGCCCTCCTCTGCTTACTGCAAGGCCTTGATGTAGGAGGTGTTGAACTGTAGTGTGAGAGACACCAGGCTGAATTTTGCTGTTTCTGCTTTTTATCTTAGAACTAGAGGCCCAGTGCACAAAATTGTGCATGTGTAGGGTCCCTAGGCTTGGCTGTCGAAAAGGGCCGATCTGTGGGGTGACCAGCAGGGTAATCGGGAGCCCCCCTCTGGCACCCACCTTGGCTGGCCTGGGGCCTGTGGGCTGAGGGCAGCTCCTGCATTGAACATCTGCCCCCTGGTGGTCAGTGCATATCATAGCGACTGGTTGTTCCACTAGTCGTGCTGCTGTTTGGTTGATTTGCATTTGCTATTAGGCTTTTATTACATAGGATTCGTATAAAGTTTGGCAATCTCTGTCTCTAAATTATGCAGAATCCATTGTTTTGCTATAGTTTGTTATATTAGGAAATAGGGACAAAGGCAGCCACCATTATCATGAACTATCTGGAATTCCTCAGAGATAATTCTTCAACCAGTGAGGAGGATAGATTGGAAGAAATGCTAACAAAGGAAAGACTAAATAGAAGGCTATTTTAATAGTGTAGGTAAATATAATGAGGGCCATGTTTTATAGATGAAGAGGATATGGTGGGTTCAGATGATATTAAAAATTTGGTGTCAAAAAGCACAGGGAGGGAAGGGTAACACTTAGGTTTCTGGTTTAGCCATTGAACATCATTACCATAGAACCATTCTGACAAAAAGAAGAGAATGAGGGCTGATTTGGGCAGATGGGAAGTGTATGTAGAGGGAATTTAATGAATTCCATTTCAGAACTAAGAGTTTAGGATGCCTAAGAAATATCCAGGAGGATTTAGAAATAGCACAAAAAATGTTGGAACTAAAATAGAAATCTGGGAGCCTACAGCATTAAGCTGAGAGGAGAAGCTGTGTTCATGTGTGAGGTTTTTCAAGAAATTGGGGTAGAAAAGAGAATAGAGGAAAGGATGTCGGAAAAATACCTCAGGAGACACTTTCATTGATGGTACAGGCAGCGGAAGAGGAGCCAGTGGAAAGACCTAGAAAAGAGAAAGATGCAGCGAGGCAGGGAGGAAAAGTTTCAAAAGCCCATCTTGGAAATTGAAGGTAAAATCAGTTTCTTGGTGGGAATGTTGATCCATCTTATAAGTATTGAATAGAAAATAAAGGAGGAAGTGAAGGTATCCACATCATGTTGCTTAAAGACTGAAGATCTTTTGAATTTTTTAGCATTAGGAAGCCATTGGTGATGTTTGCCAAGAACATTTTTTATAGATTGGTGAGGGTGAAAGCAGATTACAGAGGGTCAAAGAATGGGTATGAGTTGAAGAATTATAGGCAGGGAATACAGACATCTTGTCTATAGTGCCTCACTCACTGTAGTCCTTAAAGAATGACACAAGGACAGTAGTTAAAGTAATACACCTAATAATATTCTCAGAACATTGAGAACTCCTGGTCTGTGGCACTTTTGACTATATGTGTATACACCTTCTTTCCCATTTTATATGGAAAGTTCCTTTATGTAACCTTGTGCATCTAAATCATGCTTGAATCATGTAATAGTGTGCACCTGGGATGAATTTAAGAATTTGTTGGCCAAATGGATGAACCAATGAAAGACTCAAAGAGCCAAACCCAACTCTGTTCAAATTCCCTGTTTCCAGGTGCCACTGCCTGTGGTAATGTTTAGCCTCCGATTTGAAACACCGAAGAGATGCCGAGTCTTAGCTTATTTTATGAGATGTGAATGATAGCTCCTGGCAGCCAGCGCAGAGGAGCTGTTAGGATGCACAGAAGATTCTGGCCCCTTGCTGAGATATGTAAATGGCCACTCTGACAGTGCTTCTCCAAAAGGGGCTTTCAAACCATAATGTGCTTCACCCTCTATCTGTCATTGCACCAGTAAAGAAACACTATTTCACGCGTAACTATCCACAGGCACTTGTTTAATTTTATTGCTGTTCTTTGCAGTGCTGCCAGGCAAATATCCTTTGAGCCTATTTTGGTTAATAACATGGTTCGCATTTATTGTTTAATTTCCAAGCCCATCTCAAAGCGAAAGTCCACTGTGGGCCTCCAGATCTTCTCCACATCAGCTCTGTTTTGAAAGGAAGGCTCAGATTGCTATAGATTTCAGAGAACACACTGCTGAGCATGAATACAAAGGCAACAGCATGTACACAGAGCCACAGAAAGGAAGAGAAAACAACCCAGCGCAACTGTGCCAGAGCTTAGTTTCTAAGAGGAAAGAACCAAAGGGTAAATGTGGACCAAAATATCTGATGTAAGATTTCATAATCTATTTGATTTTCACCCCAGGTCTGGCTCCAGATAGGCCAATGGCTTTTTTGAAAGCCAAATAAAGAAGCACAATGGAGACTTTTCTGTTAGACTTGTAATCCAAATATCTAGCCGTGCTTAATTTCTCCAGCTAACTGGTGGCCATATCCTTGATATTTACATGAACTTGGCTTGAATTCCTCAAATACTCTCTGATGATTTAGGAAAATATATGGTGGGCAAGTTCACGTTTCTCCATTCATTTCTGCTTCATTCTCAATCTCCATTCCAATTTGTGCTTCCTGTGTATAGGAGGAATCCTTTGTTCTACACCCCACTGCCCCACTGAGTCACACCCAAATATCTTTTTCTCCCAATTCCTCTAACCCAGGTAATATGTAATTCAGACTTAAGAATTGAGAGACAAGAGAGGGAGAAGTAGGTTTACTTAGCTGCCCAGCAGGACAAACAACTGGACATTGACAATAAACATCCATGGATTTAAGTCCTTGAACTTACCGAGGGAATTTGTGGTGGCCATTTTTTTTTCTACTAGGGTTTTAGCCTTGCACCATATTGCTTCCCACCCGTCCCTTCTTCTCAGACCAAAATCACTCACCCATAGCTCCCACCCAAGGTTTCAGATAATTTCTGCTGCAGAACAGTTTAGCTAGCCCTCTGTTTTTTTGCAAACCATCTGCTCATGCCCAAAGGGTCTCATTCTCATATTTATGGCCAAACATGACTCTTCTCACCCTAGGAGCTCTGTGCCAACCCTTAAAGTAATATAATTTTACCTCCCTCTGCTACTTTAAAATAAAGCTTCTATGCGTGGGCTCTCTGTTATGCAAATGCCGTACTTCTAACATTCTCACAGAAATGAAAAGAATAAAAAATTAAGGATTTATTTTACTTGTTTTGCTTTTGCACCCAAAGGATGTATCCTAATCCCCTCCTCTTAAACTAATCTATCTTTCAGAAGTCCTCCAAAATGGCTTAAAAAGGAAAAGTGGAAACCTTTAGTTTTGAGCACCTTCCCTTCCCTTCAGTAATCAAACCCCAACTTGGTTCACTATTTCTGTAGGTGCCGGAAGCCGGTCCATCCTTGCTGCTTGACACAGTCGCTGCAGGGAAGAAACATCTGCACAGCATATGTTTCAAGGGACCTGGAGTATATGGCATACTGTTCTTAATATGTTTGCTCCCCTTCTTGGCAGTATGTGTTTTAACCAAGGTCACCTCTCCCAGAAAGGTTGTTTCCCTAGGTAGGGATTTTTCCCTGAAGCTAGGGAGGGAATAAAACCCCTTAACTAAGTGCCAGGTGGGTAGTTAATCCCTTTAACTACGAACAATCACGCTTAAACTACATAATCTTTACTCCCTGGAATGGAGATAAGAAACGCCCTAACCTTTAGAATAGAAATTGACAGGATTAAAATCAACTGGTATAAATACAGATGTAGGTGGCTCAGCTTCTTAGAAGTGTGGGTCTGAGAAGGCAACTCACAGGGATCCCGCTCGCCTCTGTGTGCACCGCTGGAATCATGTCGAGTATGTCGGTGAGAGACCCGGCCATGGATCGATCGCTGCGTTCAGTGTTCGTGGGGAACATTCCTTATGAGGCCACCGAGGAGCAGTTAAAGGACATTTTTTCGGAGGTTGGTTCCGTTGTCAGTTTCCGGCTCGTATACGATAGAGAGACGGGGAAACCCAAGGGTTATGGCTTCTGCGAGTACCAAGACCAGGAGACCGCGCTCAGTGCCATGCGGAACCTGAATGGGCGGGAGTTCAGCGGCCGGGCGCTGCGGGTGGACAATGCTGCCAGTGAAAAGGACAAGGAGGAGTTGAAGAGCTTGGGGCCCGTGGCGCCCATCATTGACTCACCCTATGGGGACCCTATCGAGCCGGAGGACGCCCCTGAGTCAATTACCCGAGCAGTCGCTAGTCTCCCCCCGGAGCAGATGTTGGAGCTGATGAAGCAGATGAAGCTCTGTGTCCAAAACAGCCCCCAGGAAGCGCGAACAATGTTACTTCAGAACCCGCAACTGGCTTATGCGCTGTTGCAGGTGCAAGTAGTGATGAAAATCATAGACCCAGAGACTGCTCTGAAAATTCTCCATCGCAAGATACACGTTACACCGCTGATCGCAGGCAAATCTCAGCGTGTGTCTGGTCCTGTCGCTGGCCTCGTCGGCCGGGCGCTGCGGGTGGACAATGCTGCCAGTGAAAAGGACAAGGAGGAGTTGAAGAGCTTGGGGCCCGTGGCGCCCATCATTGACTCACCCTATGGGGACCCTATCGAGGCAGGGAGCAGGCATGCAAGGACCAGGTATGCAGGGAGCAGGCATGCAAGGACCAGGTATGCAGGGAGCAGGCATGCAAGGACCAGGTATGCAGGGAGCAGGCATGCAAGGACCAGGTATGCAGGGAGCAGGCATGCAAGGACCAGGTATGCAGGGAGCAGGCATGCAAGGACCAGGTATGCAGGGAGCAGGCATGCAAGGACCAGGTATGCAGGGAGCAGGCATGCAAGGACCAGGTATGCAGGGAGCAGGCATGCAAGGACCAGGTATGCAGGGAGCAGGCATGCAAGGACCAGGTATGCAGGGAGCAGGCATGCAAGGACCAGGTATGCAGGGAGCAGGCATGCAAGGACCAGGTATGCAGGGAGCAGGCATGCAAGGACCAGGTATGCAGGGAGCAGGCATGCAAGGACCAGGTATGCAGGGAGCAGGCATGCAAGGACCAGGTATGCAGGGAGCAGGCATGCAAGGACCAGGTATGCAGGGAGCAGGCATGCAAGGACCAGGTATGCAGGGAGCAGGCATGCAAGGACCAGGTATGCAGGGAGCAGGCATGCAAGGACCAGGTATGCAGGGAGCAGGCATGCAAGGACCAGGTATGCAGGGAGCAGGCATGCAAGGACCAGGTATGCAGGGAGGAGGCATGCAAGGGGCAGGCATGCAGGGAACAGGCGTACAGGGGGCAAGCAAGCAAAGTGGAGGCCAGCCTAGCAGTTTTAGTCCAGGGCAGAGCCAAGTAACTCCACAGGATCAAGAAAAGGCAGCTTTGATCATGCAGGTTCTTCAACTGACTGCAGATCAAATTGCCATGCTGCCTCCTGAGCAAAGGCAGAGTATCCTGATTTTAAAGGAACAAATCCAGAAGTCTACTGGAGGTTCTTGAAATACTTCATAGTAATCCCAGAAAGTTTTTTTTTCTTTTTCTTTTTTTTTCTTCTTTTTCTTCTTAGCATGGAGAATGGGTGCAAAAAGCTGACTACTGCATCCCCACAGTTGAATGATTAGGGCAGAACCTAATCTCTTTTGTTGTTCTTGTCTTCCCTGCCCCCTCCGTTTTCCTTTTTATTTTTAATCGGGAGGGGGAGGCATGGGTCTGTTCACTTTAATTCACTGTAAATATACAAAAATAACTCTGAAAGGGATACTATACCAAATAAAATTACAAATAATATGCAGCAATACTAAAAGTGTGTACAATATGTTAACTTCTTTTAAAAACAATATTAAATAAAACAATGTGAAATCTTTACAGAAGACAAGAAGGTAACCTATTAAAAAGATAATTTACCAAGATAGTTTAAGAGTTTTGATTGTATAAGAAAACAAGTTTACCTCCAAAATATAAGATCCATATTTTTGGTAAGTCACTTAAAATACAAAAACCTATTTTGGGGGCAATAGAAAGTTGTGTTAAGTTAAGCATTCTTTCAGTGTTTTGGAATTATTTAGAAATGTTAGAGTTAACAGGATAAATCTAAACTTGTGGTACTGGGATTGTTTTTTTCTAAAGCTGTGCTACCTGAATATCGAAGAGTTCATCTGGTGTGATGTTTCATTTATCTCACCTTTCCGAGGCCAGTGATCTTCTGGCCTGGCTTGAAAATGATACTTTACTGGGACAGTTCTAGGATTAACCAGGTTACTTAACTCTCCTCTGAGGAGACTCAGTATATCTCTCCATACCTTCCTATGTCTCAGTAACCTTTGAGCCCTAAATCTAAATCTGAGTTATTCTCTCACATCCTTCCCTAAGGTCAGTGTCTAGGGACCAGTTTATCTGAGTGAATTATAGACCACATTGGGCTTTTCATAAATGGTAAAGGGCTTCCTTCATGCAGTAAAACTCTGCGTCTAGCTTTTATATGCAGATGCTTCCATCTGGTCAACCAGAAACAGGAATTTAAAATCTTAGTCTCAGCAATATTTAACATACCTTTTAGTTTTCTTATATCAAAATCTATTTGTGTATCACCATCTTATCAAAATAATCCAATCCCAGGTAGGTAGGTAAAATCTTGTAGCCTGAATTCTCTGCTTAGTGGTTATCAATCATCGCTTTTTATAAGGCATAAAGCCACTTAGTTCTAGTATAGGTACCACTGAGACATAGTTAAAAATCAGTAGAAAGGTGAAGCTTATCACATTTCCTTCAGAGCTACTACCTAATTTATTTTGAAGCCTTGAGAATGTGGTCACATAAAGTATAGCATCGACTACTAGTGAACAGAAGTATAAACACCCAAATAACCAGGTGATCTTACTCTGGAGAAAAACCAACAAAAACTAATACTAGTCACAGAGGGGGAAATGTCACTTAATACAAGGAGAGAACTGAGACTTGGAAATGAATTATTTTTCCTTTGCAAGGTGTATACATCTTAAATGGGTATAAAGTTTTCATCTATATGCTGTTTCCACTTACCCATTTTTTACTGTTGTTTATACTGTTACTTTCCCTGTGTATCCTATATGCTCCCCCTAGATTGGAGGGATAACTCTACATGTGTGATAGTTCTGTACACTAATTCACAGAGTTGGCTTGGTCACTTTGAAATTATAGTTCCTTTAAAGCTTTCTTTGAAGGACTAAATGAAAACCATTAAATGTTATGTTCTTTGTTGTAATAAAATGTCTGCATTGTTTAATGAAGACTTAATAAAAAGAATGCACAATACCTGAAAAATAAATAAATAAATAAATAAATAAATACAGATGTAACAAGACAATAAAACACAGAACTTGGCTGGAGATCCTGGCGAGAACCTGGCTAGGCTGCTGATCAACTGAACACTGTCTCTGTGTCATTCCTTCTTCGCCGACTCTGTCCACACCTTTGGGAACCCCTGGACCTGCTGGGGTTGGACCCCAACACGGAGGGTTTGTTATATCCTTGTGATGGTTAATTTTATGTGTCAACTTGCCAAAGTCACAGGGTACCCATACTTTGGATCAAACATTATTCTGGGTGTGTCTGTGAGGGTATTTTTGAATGAGATTAACATTTGAGTCAGTAGACTGAGCAAGGCGGACTGCAGTAGTACATAGTGTAGTTGTACCATATTAGTCAGATGTGTGACCTTATGTTGTCTTTACTTAAATAAGTTTTGGTTGAGGAGGTGTATATGGGCACCAATTTGAAAAAGGATGGACTTGTGATGACTAATTTTATGTGTCAACATTTTTAAAGATATTCACAACATTTAATTTCATCCATTTTAATGTAAGCAAATTTTTTTTATCAACCCAACATAAAAAATACTCAAGTATATTTTTCTTAGGATTTAAAAAACACACACACATTATTTCTTAAACAAAAGGTTTTCTGAAACACCTTTTAAACCTGCCCTACATTATACTCCACATAAACTGGATTAAAATCTTTAGTATTGCTTAGTACTGGGAAAATTATGGTCTGGACCCTCACAAAATCCACACTGTATATAATGCATAATTTAAAAATTTGAAAAAGTGGGGTTCCCAGACATTTGGTGTCTAGGCATATCTGTGACTATGCTTTTTTATGAGATTAACATTTGTTAGATTCAATAGCCAGAGGAAGGCAGATTGCCCTCTCCAATGTGGATAAGCCCTCATCCAAGCAATGAAAGACCTGAATAGAACAGAAAGGCTGAGAAAAGGGTACTACTCTGGCCTGACTGCTGAGATGGAACGTTGGCTCACCTGGTTCTCTGGCCTTTGGACTTGGACGGGAATTAATACCAGCCACTGGAACAACAACATACACTGTTATAATTCTTTTTCAATTTTTCTCTCTACTCCTACCCATGTCGCTTTATTATAGATTATCATAAATTGAAAAGTCAGCCTCCCCAGAATGTCTGCTTCCGCCTAACAATGTGAAAATCCCTATAGTATAACTGTGCAGGGTTTCGTCACTGCTTGATCTCCCCCAAGTAATGCATCATGAATTCTCTCTTTACAACATTAGCTCTTTGGATTGCATTGCCCACTGCATTCTGTTTTTGAGCATTTGCCTTACAATGATCCTGGATGATTGAAAAAGGGAGTGGGATAGGGAAGAAAAGAGGAGAGAGGCAGTCCACATGAGACCATTCAAATAGGTGTCAGCAAAGTCTCCGAGCACGGGCATCACCTGGACAAGTTCGGGCAGTTTTTGATGGAACACTCATCCAGCATTGACAAGAACTGCTAATGAGGCTCCCTTGCACCAGGAACAAATTGAGCTTGCTCAAGTGGCACCGATGGCCTGTAAGCCTTGGCTTGTCTCCCACGCTGCCTCCTGGAACAGGAGACTGAGCGTGTTCAGCAGTCTCCTGGTGCTGACTATTATTTCTGAGGTAGCCGGCCAATTTGGAAGTCAAACACTGAACCTTGTCTCTTTCTCTTTGCATTCCTGCCACAACAGTCTGATTCTCCAGGCAACATGCCTGCTTCTGACTGAGTGGGGAAATGATCACATACAGTAAGTTCATGGTCACTGTTTTAATGTAATATCTCACCTCACAAAACATCTACATTCCTCAACACATACATTCCCCAGGAAGCAGTGGACAAGGACGTGACCAAACAAGTGAGAAGGAGCACATTTGAAGACTGGATGGTTGCCCCTTAGGTCTGAATACTTAATGAGGTCTTTTAAAATTCAGAGAGGAGTAGAAAAATGTGAAACATTTTTGGTTATTTCTGTTTCCTCTTCCCCAAACATATTTTCTGCCCCTTTTCATTCTCTTTGGAAGTATAGATAATTCCACAGATCATCTTAGATGACTTTTTCAATAAGGTCTACTTTATTATTTTTTTTTTTTTAACAGAGAGGAAGGGAGAGGGATAGAGAGTCAGAAACATCAATGAGAGAGAAACATCGATCAGCTGCCTCCTGCACACCTCCTACTGGGGATGTGCCCGAAACCAAGGTACATGCCCTTGACCAGAATTGAACCTGGGACCCTTGAGTCCACAGGCCGATGCTCTATCCACTGAACCAAACCAGTTAGGGCTACAAGGTCTACTTTAGAAAAATTTTTTATGATCTCTAGTAAATATTCAAAACAGTCCATGTGAGCAAATCCAAAACCACTTATCTGGTTATTGATCTTCGTCTTATCCCCAAGTGTCCAACAGAGCTTTGGTCATCATTTAGCAGGGAGGGATGTGTCTGTGGGGGCAGATAGGATAGAACTGAATAAAAGTGAAAAGAACCATGTGTGGGGAGAATAGGGAGGCTTGGAAGTGGTTTGCTGGTTGATACAAGAGCTAGCAATCTGCAGTCTCACCTAGCTCTTTGGTATCCTGAAGACTGGGTGTTTTGGAGTTTTTATGTGTACATGACTCATTCAATATTAACTCAGCAACATTTTTCAGCAATTATTACAGTGCCAGTCTCGGCTCTACTAGTAGATATTGGAATACACATTCTAGTGTTTGTGCACACATATACAGTGACTCTACTATGCCAATACCTCTGTTCTATACTAACATGGAGCATAGCATCTTGTTGTATGGGGAAAATTGCCCTCTAGGACTCAGCAATCCTGGGTTTTATTTCATAAACTTCTCTTTAAGCAGGTCTGTAGTCTATTCAGTGCTAAAGTCTGTTTCCTTATGTATTTATGTGGGTATTAGTTCAGCAGCTAATACCTGTAAAGAGTACACCACAATGAATAGAAATTCTCAATAAAGAACAGACTCAAGTGAAAATTTAATAAAGTATCAAGTGCCCATCAATAGATGAATGGATAAAAAAGAAGAGGTACATTTATACAACAGAATATTACTCAGCCATTTAAAAAAAGAATGAAATTTTGCCATTTGCAATAGCATAGATAGACTCAGAGGGTATTATGGTAAATGAAATAAGTCAGACAGAGAAAGACAAATACCATATGATTTCACTTATATGTGGAATAAAAAATAAATAAACAAACAAACAAGACAGAAACAAACTCATAGATACAGAGGACATTTTGATAGTTGCCAGGTGGATTGGGGTATGGGTGAAAAGGGGAAGGGATTAAGATTTACAAATTGCCCGTTATAATATTAGTCACCGGAATATAAAGTACAGTATAGGAAATATGGTCAATAATATTGTGTTGTAATCAGTTTATAAATTATATAAATGTCTAATCACTATGTTGTACACCTGAAAATAATATAATATTGCATGTCAACTGTAATTGAAAAATTAAAAAAATATATTTTTAAAAGAAAGTTTAATAAGGTACATTCAAGAAAGACAGGAAAATAACTAAGAGAATAAATGTGACATA